TTTGAACATGCCACTGAAGGACTGACAAACACCCCGAGACACAGAAAATTCACCAAGATTTGATATTCACATATATATATATATATAATTATATAATTATATTATTATATATTTACATTATTATATATAATATATATTCATTGAATTTCTAAATTGCCATGTTGTCACATGTGTTGGTTGATGCCCGCAAAAAACAGACAGGCAATCCTTCGCTGGGCCACAGGAGTACTACGGTGCGCAGCCACCCATCGAGCTGATTCGACAGTGGCATGACCACGGCGGCTGGTACAATCGCAAGGACCCAACGGTTGGAGCGGGGTGGTGGTTCCAGGATTCTTTGGGTCAACGTTTGAAAGATATAGATGTAGTCTTGGCCGCAGATTTTCAATAGTTGCGACATTTTGAAAGAATGCGATTCCATTTTTGTTGAAACAAAATCCCACTATCCCAATGATACCATGCATAGGTCCCGCATTAGTAGTGCAAATTTCCAAGAAGCGGGATTGCAACAAGCTTTCAGGACCAGGAACCGTCGTGCCGTGACATCACCAATCTATGAGATGGGTCAATATTTGGTTGGTGCTTTGGAACATGGCTTTTATTTTTCCATATATTGGGAATAGTAACCCCAACTGACTTTCATATTTTTCAGAGGGGTAGGTCAACCACCAACCAGATATGATAACATGTATATAAGGCAATTAAAGATACCCTCTAGTAAACTAACATAGCTATTGAAAATTGCCATTTATAGTTGATTTTCCCATTAAACATGGTGATTTTCCATAGCTATGTTAGTTTACCAAAGGATAATTAAAGTCCAAAAACCTAGGTTCTGTTCATTTCTAGTATGACTTATATGAAAATTAATCCTCCAATTTCAGGCTGGTGATACCCATGTTTACCCTTTAGCGCCGTGGTGATTCTATACCACGGCATGCGCCTAGGAGTTGGTTAAGTCTGAAACTCAGTGGGGGATGATAGGGGAAATCATCCCCTTTTATGGCCGCAAGATTCAGGTTTTGTGAATTATTATAATTTACCCAGGTACTTTATCTCCAGGAGCTTTTTCTATCTTTTTCTCACACATGAGACACAAATCGCTTAGATTTTACTACAGTTTACTTTCAGCCTTTAGATTTGAGTAGGCTTCTGCCTGTGATTTCGGGACCATGATTTGCCAACATCAAGTGAAGCAGCCTCAACATGGTATGCATTCAATGTCAGAGACGTTTACAACGAATCTGTTTCCGAAGAAAACATAGGACCATTTTTAGTGGATTCTTCAGTATCCTCTCTATCTTGAGGCCCTCCATGGTCCGGAGTTGACATTCAACGATCTTTGAGATTCCTTGCGGGCAACATTTCCAGCATAGAATATGAACAACATCTCCGTTTTTGTTGGCAAAACATGGGCTTGTCGTGAAATAGGGTACCCCATCTTTTAATCCCATGGTTTTGGAACTTCATATCCCTTATTCCCCAATTGCCATATAAAATGAGGAGATAGGCCATTTCCAGACACAGCAAGATGTTTTAGGCTCCAGATCCCATAATAATAGGGGCCCTCAATTCATGAGATCCAATCCTAAAGCATCTAAACATATCCAAACCATTGTTTCGGGCGTTTCGGTGTGAAAAAACAAAAACGGGAATGGGATTGGGTAACAAAAAACCAAATCACTGCCAACCATAAATCCCATGAAATTCTATAAAACACCTCTAGAATCCCATTAACACCTACAAAACCCCTATGAAATCCCAATAAAACATGCCAAATCACCAGTAAATCCCAGTAAAATCCATTAACCCCTATGAAATTCCATGGATTTGTCCTTATTATCCCCTGATCTTCATGGCCTAACCCAACAGGTTCAACATCATCGATGTGGTCATGGTGTCTGCCATGGGACCCCCCGGAGGTGGTAGGACCTTCATCACGGAGCGTTGGAAGACCCAGAGGCATCTGATTTCAGTTTCCTAACATCGGAATATATGGGAATTTATTGGATAGATCTGGGTAAATTATAACGACCTCACTGCGACCTCACTGGAATCATGGTTAGTAAGGGGAATCATCCCCAAATGGCCTTAATTCAGGTTAGTGAAATATTATAATTTACCCAGATAGATATCAACTTTAACTTAACCATAAAACTGTTTGTATATATAATATATATATATATATATCTCTCTCTCACCAACTGATCATCAACTTCATTTGTTACAGTTTGTGGGATGAACATTGTTATTTAAAATGCAAACCATTTCCTGGTGGATGGTTATGATCGGGGATTGTGGGGAGGCTTTGGAAAGTAGTTGGGTTGTGAATAATAATGATCCCCCAACCAACAATTCTTAACGGTTGCTTCAACCTAATTATGAGTCAATGATAGCGACAAGGATTGTAATTTATGGTAGTTTTACCCTTTTTTTAACTAAACTTACCTCCCTTGTACCTAGGGTGTTTGGAGCAACCCTGTTGTTGATTAATTATTGTCAGGAGGTAGATCACCTGGTTATTGGGGATCATGACCGAACATTTTTTTCCATGAGATGGGTAGGGTATTTTGAATGGATCATATGTGCATGGCATATACCGGTGCAGAAATGCAATATACATTGTACTAGCTAGTTTGTATGATGTAAGATTATATCAGATGGCTGATATAAGCGTTGATGTCTATATACAGTGGATATGACAATGAATACACTATGTTTATACCCATCCCATGTTAATTAATACAGTATGTTAATACCAACGTCATCTACGATGTTGTATATATATATATTTATACATGTGTGTGTGCATTTATTTTTGTATATATTATATATATATATATTATAGGTAGATTGTAACGACCTCACTGCCACCTCATGGAATGATGATTAGGATTGGGGGAACTATCCCCAAATGACCTTATTTCACCTCGATGTGTGAATTACAATTTACCCAGTAATATATACAGTATACATGTATAGTAGTCCTGGAGTAAATAGAAGATGTATTGTTTCTTAAGTATTTACTTCAGGATGATTACATGGTATATTATGTTATGCGTGCAATCAGTTATTGTGTATATAAATATGTAAATTGTATGTATACTCTTACATATCGCAAACTTGCACTGGAAGATTCCCCCAGTCGGGATGATGGTCATGGCCGATGTCATGGGGCGACGCTAAGGCCTGAAGAGGCACTACAGCACGTCCTGGTGCTTAGATTGAGGGGTGCGAGGGTTTTCGACCCTGGATACTGAATGTTAGTGACTGATTGTGCCAGTTTTACCCAAACTTTGGTGTGACTAAAAGAACTGAACTTTGGGTTCTCCGCCCTGATTTGCTATTTGCTCCTTTGAATTCTGGTTGGTGGTTTAACGGTTTGGAACATTTTTTATTTTCCATAAAATATGAGATAATCCTTCCCATTTTTCAAGATTGTTAAAACCACCAACCAGAATTGTTTGCTGCATTTGCCTCCTGGAAATGTCCATTTGCTCATTTAGGTTGGCCTATTCAGACCTGTCAGATGTGCCCTGCCATGTTTGCAGGTCAATCAGGAGCGCTAGGGGTGGCCGCTAGGGGTATGCTACTATGGGGTGGCCGATGCCATTTTACCCTCTGGTAAACATACAACAAACTATGGAAAACCGCCATTTTTAATGGGAAAATCCACTATAAATGGCCATTTTCCATAGCTATGTTAGTCATTACCAGAGGGTATCAGCCAGGACTTTCACGCTTTCATCTAATTTTGTTTGAATTCATATGGCAGTGGGTCAAAACCTTGTACCCCTGGTGAACATAAAAATAGCTGGTAAATGGATGTTCATCCCTCTAAAAATGGAATTAATATGTATTGATTCATAGCCATATGTGATTTTCTCGGCATTTGCACTCGGGGTATGCAGTTCCAGTGCCGGAGCTTGTGTGCCAGGTCTCCATAAAACACATTTTCGCAGTGATCTCCAAGCATTTCTTCAGCGTAGGGGACCCAAGGGGTCCCCCCCTTGGGGGACCCAAGGAGATTTGCTTTTCGTCACGGCAGGCTGGGTAAACCGGGGTAAGCTGGGTATATAGAGAATAGGAACATCATCTTCCAGGAAATCTTCCGCACTAATTTGTTTATTTTCTTTGGGGGTTAATTCCATGTTAAATTTTCGGGGAGTGGAGTGGGTTAGTGAATGTTCACAACCATTCAGGGCAGTTAGTATTGATTGTCATTGACTTTATTGTTTGATGCCTTAGGGCACTAGCAGTGGCCGCTGATTGGCGTCGGATTCCTCTGAGGTATTTGGCCCAACAGTGCAAGAGGTTGTACCCAAGATGATTGACTGCACCATTACTGTCTTCAAGCAGGCAATGGGTTGCTGGTGGGAGGCGTTTTTGTGGTTGGCATGAGTTTGAGGTTGCTGATCCCTGTTGCCTATGATATGACTCTGTTTGCCGGTGATATGTGATATGCCGATTCTGTCTTGGTTTTTGCTTGGGCTGATGATGGGTTCCCAACACAGGGCGAGAATTCATTGGTAACCTGGTCAGCCTGTTTTTTTCATTCACGCCTTGCTGTAGAATTTGTACCTGTTTGGACTGTTCTTTTCGTTTCTGAGTGATGGCACCAGACACGTGAGTCTGGCCACAACTGCAGCGGGTGGTTTGATACCCCTTGTGATGTGGGATATCACAAGGTCAGTGAGACCAAGGTCGGCAGAGTGCCAGCCCTCAAAGCCCCAAAATGAAATGTACTTCCACCTACTAGAATCAATTACAATCAGATGTCGCTCACAATGCAGTCATATAATATCATACAATATGAGATACATCTCGATTCTTCAAAATGTTGGTTCACATATTTTTTGTGTCCATATTTTCGTGTTGCTTTTCTTATCATGTTCCATAATGTTCCTATCATTTCCTATTAGTTTACTCCATTTCCAGCATTTTCCCATGTCCTGCTGTCCCCTACCGCAGCTGCAGTGGTTCCCGGCGCCGTTCCGGCGCTCGTTTCGAGCGCCATGGCCTCTGCGCTGGGCGCGGCGAAGGCCGCACCCAGCCCGGAGACGTACAAAAGTCGCGCGCGGGAGGCGGTCTCCATGGGTCCTTTTTTTTTGGGAGGGGGGGAAGATTATAGTCCAAAAAAATGTCCTATCTACATTTGAATATTGATTTTAATTTATTAAGTGATATAAGTGATGAAATCACCATGAAATCATTATAAACCTTAGACAAGACGGTTACAATTGCAAGCCAAGTTAGCTACTGTAACTATGGGCACCGCTTCGGGGTGCATGCCAGTTCGTAACCCATCATACTACTGGGGTATGACCGGGTGACATTATGATTGTTAGATACATGTTGTTACCCATTTGGATTTAATTGGGATGCAGAGTCAGGCGTTCGGCGTTGTCCTTTTTCCCATTGATTGGTTGATGAATAGCGCCGTCACCCGCCGTACTCAACAACCTGTAAGATTCTAACAGAGGGAGTTGATTTCACCAACATAAATGTGTTGGTTTTGCACGAACAATGGGCTGTACAACAACGAACGGGGGTTAGGAAAAAGACCTGAAACATGGGGATATCATGACATGAAAGCCCTTCAAATCCTTCCTGATAGGTGTTATTTCAGTGCTAAAGCCTAAAGTAGCCTTGACATTTTCCAGATGTTTGGCAGCGGTGATAGATAACATCACCTGTGCATCCTAGCCCTCCATTTGCATCCATTGGCCCCATGATGTTCCATTTTGTTTTCAGCTTCAAATTCAGATGCCTGAATTGAAGGCAATGTGGTGCGCCCAAAACCAAACAAGTCGTAAAATGCCTTCCTTAATCGCAAAGTGAGGCATGTGGCTCAGTGTTGCCCACTTCGTTTGATGTGATAGACTTCCCGAAGACATGAATCATATTTGAATCCTCCTATCGCACAGCACCTGCCATTTTCGGGTTTTCACGGTACATCACAGTAGAGATTTTTGGGTTCGCTCCGACACCGTCCAGGCGATGAAAGCCGATGTGGTGCACCCCAAATTTCTGGACGATGCACATTGGGTGTCTTGGTGGAACCAGGTGGAAGCTGTGGTATGTTCGACACACCAACCCCATAAGGTGAGGCTGCCCGGACTCCCCAGTGATATCCCAGTGATGTTTATTTGTAAACTTCATGAAGTCGTGATATCCCCCATAAACATCGATAAACATTCAAAACATCATCAGGCGTCCTTGTTTTCCTCGCCGTTGAGACATCCTCCAGTTGCCAAAACTGTGTGCCCCTGACTATGTGAACCTATCAACCAGGATCAACCAACTAATTGTTCTGAGATGGGATAAAGGATGATAAAGGATGATAAAGGATGATAAATGTATTCTTCATGGTTCATGTGATTTGCCTTGCAACGTTGCAACAATCCCAGATGACTACACCTTTGTCAGAGGGGTTAGGAACCGCACATTTTTTAATCAAGTCACTGCATTTTTGAACTCACGCCAGCCCCGTGGAACTCCAAAAATATCGCTAACTTCAGGGAGAATCCGTTGAACGGTAATTTTAACGAAATCCCAAGCATTATGTGGGGTGGTTAAGAAAAATTACAACAGGTTGGCATTTCGAAGATGCAACCACCATTAACCACCCCACAATGATACACAGATGATAGACTCTATCCCCCTCTGGTTGGTGGTTTGGAACATGGCTTTTATTTTTCCATATATTGGGAATTTCATCATCCCAACTGAGGGGTTGAAACCACCAACCAGGCCCTATAGTTGTCCCATGTTGTCCCTATCCGATGTTCTCCCAGGTCCAGCTTTGGCGGAAGCATTTCGAAGCTAGTGCCCTCCTGGATGGCGAGGCAGAGACGACTGAAGAAAAACGCTGGATTTGAAGCGGAAAAACGTACCCTCTGGTAATTTGTCACATAGCTATGGAAAATCACCATGCTATTACTGGGAAAATCCACTATTTCTATGGCCATTTTCAATAGCTATTTTGACATAACCAGAGGGTAGTGAATCGTGGTTGATGGGTTGATGTGAACAGAAAGTGGGGCAAAAAAGTGACTCCACTGAGGTGAAACCGAAGGAACAAGTCGTCGAGATGGTTGGGGTTGGCCATGGTGACTCCAGGTGAATCCATGTGCCCCTGAGAATCTCCAAGTTCTATAGTGAGATATAGTTAGAAAAACTTAACTTATCTTAGCTTCAAGTAGAAAGATATCCCACTTATGGGTTAATGACTATAAAATGTAGTCAATGTATATAGTTAATATATAGTTATATACTTTATATATAGTTGATGTTAGTTGTATTTAAGTTCTGATCCAACTATTGAGCTGGCCATGGATCCAAAGTTGACATGAGAGCAGGTGCCGTTCGAGCGGCCGATGGATGAAACGTCGCATGGCATGGCATTGTACTGTGGTGGTATGGGGAGGCACATGGAGGCGCCAAAATCATCCAAAGTTGGTCATTTGTCAGGGAAACTTCTGGTTTTGGGACAAGCCAAATTTGAGAAACACCCAAAACCCATAGTTACTGGATTATCTGGATTACTATGCGATTTCTGGTGGAAGTTGGATTGTTTTGGTGTCCTTTTAGAACATGCTGGTGTGTTTCCAATTTTTCCTATCCTGACATTCTCGGTTGTGCATGCAGCAGTTTAGTTCAGCAATCCAACCCGAACGTGAAATACCATTCAAACGGTGGTTAGGATGGTTAGGTTCTGGATCTATTCACCTTGTCTTTGATTTCTGGGAATGTCATATTGATACTTTTGATTCAATATGACATGTTCCACACTCAAATAGGACATTTACCCTCTGGTAAACATACAAAAAGCTATTGAAAATGGCAATTTATAGTGGATTTTCCCATAAAAAAACATGTGATTTTCCATAGGTATGGGTCAGTTTACCAGGCCGGGTATTGGCAGCCAATCCCCATGTCCCCATGGCTAAAGCTTCGCTGGAGCTCCGTGGCATCGAGGTTCCAAGATTCCAACCTGTCGCCTGGCGGAAGATGTTGGAAGCAGCGAGGTTTCATGGGTTTCAACATGTTGAAAAACATGTGTCATGGTTTGAAAGATGTTCTCCACTTGGCAAATGGTCAGCTTTGGGGTTGTTTCAGAAGTTGTTTGATGGGAGCTTAGGGGCCTCAGCACTGGGATAACGACTGCATGGTTCGGCTCTGATGAATGATTCCATTTGGCATCATTTGGCACATCGGTCAGAATTGTGACCCCAAATATGATGATTTGAGCCTTAACCAACCATGACCAATTTTGGGTCAATTGACCAGCAGTTCTTCACCCAGACCCAGGATCAAGAGCAATGGGCCGAGGCTTACCAAAGCTGATCGAGAGTGGTCGTATATAATTTGAAGGGTTCAATTTTTTCCGGAGTCCGGCTATATATTTTAAGCCTTAATGGGACTAAAAAGATGTTAAAAGGGGATAATTACTGGGAACATCATTTTGGCATATTTTGGCACTATGTGAGCCATGAAAAGTACCATTGTTCTAACAGGGAAACCCATCAACCAATCAGAATAATGAGATGATGGTTTTGAAACCCCATTGGAAACACCCCAAAGAATAATCAGAATAATAGGACGTGAACATTGGAAAACACCCCATTAAAACCCATCAACCAATCAGATAGGGGTGGTTTCCAATGTTCACGTCCTCGTTATCTTTTTTTGGTGACCTCAGGCGTGTGTTGCAGTGGAACCTGCTAGCAGCAGCTCGGAGATCATGGGTGGCGGGTGCCGATATGGATTCCTTAGCTTACCTCGGGTGATTTTTGCCAAAAAACGACCTGCATGTTGATGGAAATGGATGGAAATGTAACCACCAACCCAGGATACCCATTTGGCTGAGGCCAAATGAACTTGACATTAGCTAATGTGGTGCCCAGCAGTTATAAATGGGTTTATAAGCCAATTCACTGGTTACATATTATGTCTACCAGAAGTCCTGGTTATTGGAGTGAGAAACCAACTTAGCTATCATAGATCAGGTATACATCTCATTCAATCCCCATTGTTTTCGGTTAAATCAAAATCCCCACTTTCAATCTGAGGCACCAGCTTTTTTGTTCCAATTCCAAGTCCCATGGCGGCCGGAAGCCTTGGAAGCCCCGCGGCTCAGGAAGGCTTAGTCCCAGAGGGTTTTATGATGCCTTTGGTCTCCAGGAACCATGTGGATCGCTCCGCCGCTTGGCTACGCGCCTAGCATGGACTAAGAGCAGTGCAGTATTGTTGTTGTGACTATCTACCGTGTTATATATATATATATAATAATAACTATATATATATATTAGATATACTACATACTACATCCTACATACTGTATACTATACTGTACTACATACTCTGTACCACACACACACATATCTATACATATATATATATATATCGATAGATATACAGTACTATATGCTTGTTGCAGGTTTGTCAAGTATTTTGATTTGACCTGATGATTTGCGGCTGCTGAATATCATGCAATGGGTGGGGGCATGGCGCAATTTGGCACCCCTAATGATGCGACTTTCTGGCTCTTGAAAGGAATATGTGCAAGCATATGTTCAATTTGAAAGCTGAAATTAGGATCATTCATCTTCACTTTGAATTAGTCACAGGGAAGAGTGGAGATAGCTATATGATGTTATATTCACCATTTCCTAAAGGAACATGGATACATCCCCATTTTTTAAATCAACCCTTTTGAATATGCCTGATATGTGGCCGGTGTGGCTCCAGCCATGGATCCTTCTTGATCCTTTTCCCACTGCTTTGTTGAGAAATCAACGGGTAGTTTCACTACCACAACAACTTATACCTAACTGCATTTGGCAATATTATGGTCATATTATGGCCATGTTATTAGCCTTATTTAGCCATTGATAACTTCAGCATTTCACCACATTTCAACACATTTCACCAGATTTCACCATGGTTTGATATCCTCAAGGGTCCCCTTGGGATCAATGGCGCAGGATCAATTTCTTCAGAAACTCCTGGAGAGTGGTCGCCCCGAAGACCTGCGGACCGCGGCCAAGTTGTCGTCCCAGGGCTATCGCAGCTACGTCTGGCGCGAAGGTGGGAAAAAATGCACCAGTTACCATCTCCCCAATTCATCAATGTGAATTTCCCATTAAAAATTGTGATTTTCCATAGTTATGTAAACGTTTACCAGAGGGTAAACCTCCATTTTCCTATGGTTTTCCTATGGTTTTCCCATTATAAATGGACCATCTATCCCCCAATTAACAAACCCTCCAGAAATCAAAGTAACTGGGAGATTGGTAACTGGTCCAATTTGGCAACAAATCTCCCATTAAACCTCCCCAATTTACCAGTTTACCGGGCGATTTATTCAATTAAGAAACCCTCTGGCACTTGAAAATCTATTGTAAATGGAGGTTTAGTGGAGGTTTAATGGGAAAATCAACGTTACTAATGCTGGAAGAATTGCCATTTTGTCGAGAATAGGGCGGTAATGGCCCAAGGGTTGGGGTCACTGGTGATCCAGATTCCAGATGCCCCCAGTCATCACCATTTTTATAGGTCCTATAGGTGGATTATATATATAAACAATTCCCAGGAAGTCATGGGTGGTTTATGACGCTGTTTTACCCACATGAATTGCAATCTGAAATCTTCAGGATTTGATGTGAAAGTCACCTGGATAGAAATGGGTCCCAAAAGTTCGAATGCCATCGGCCTGATGACCAGGTTGGATGGATCACCGCATCAGTTTAAATGCCTGTATTACTCCAGGATGTTGAACACGTGTCATGGTCAAGTTAGTTGGATTGTGTACAAATATTTGATCGTATTTTTTTTTTTTACCAAAAATATTTTCCAAATCACATTCATTTCATTGCGGACATTTAAGTGATAAATCATTCATGTCAAGAAATGGTAGAAATATCTTGAGAATTTTCAACCATACTGGGGGGATGGTCATCAATCCAGGAGCGTTTTTTCATATGCTCCTGGTATGGCCTGGATTCTGCCTAATATGGGATGGATGGAAAAAAACAGCCGTTTTTGCTACGATACATGTGTCAAATTAAATGGCCCCCTTGGTTATCGGCATTTGCTACATGATTTTGGTACATTTATACAATTTATCCATAGTTTAAAAAGGGTCAACGAAATGTGTTTTGTGTCTTGGCAGGTTTCCAACCAAGACGGACCCCATCAGGTTCCCAAGTGTCATCCCAGTTGGTTGACGATAGCCCCTATATAACTGCTAGAACTGGCGATGCACCTTGGCATCTCCGAAAATAGGGCAGCCCCCAAATGATGATGGTTTATCATATGTGTTTCTCATGCAAACAGCAATCTTGGTGCCCCTGAGAGGTGAAGAAGGAGAACATGAAGTGATGTGGGAAGAGTTCGCACGCATGGCCTGCAACATGGTACCTTGGTGCCATCGCATCGGGTTTCCTGCGAATCTGGGATGATCGATTACCCTCTGGTAATCAAACACAGCCATGGGAAAATCCACCATTTGTAGAAAGAGGATTTTCCCACGCGAATGCCATTTTTTGTTATATAGAGGAATTCTCCAGCTGCCATGGTTGAGTATATATATATATACCGGAGGAATTATGATTGGCCCAGGTTGCATCCATGGTGTAACAACGATTTAGTGACTGAAATGCCTTGACGTGCACAGAAGGGCTGCACATATGACCTCATCTAAAGACAAACAGTTTTGGGTCCTAATTCATGCATACGTGAGGCAACCGGTACAAGCACACTATACCTAAAGGGGATCCAGCCAGGGATTCTAAATCACAAAATTTCTAGCCGTAGTGGTGAATCTATGCACTTTGTGGTTCTCCCAGAGAGGATGTTTGTGGATATTTGTTTATATTTATATTTTATATTTATATTTATTTGACCAACTCTCATTTGAGCAGACCCATAGGTCCACCATTGACATCTGGGGATTTCTGGTTTTCTCCACGACGTTCATCCGATGGCTTCCTCCAAAATCCTTCAGGTCCTGGCCATGAAGGGCCTGCCTCCTTCACAAAAGGAGGAGCGAGGCTTGGATCTCAAGAAGAAGTGCCTTGGATCAATGGCCGAGCCGGCAGGTTTTGTCAGCTCTGGCCTCCGGATTTCCACGATTTTAAAGAACATCCCAAAAAGGATGAGTATACTTTTCGTCTCAGATTTTTGCAGGCTCATATGAAGGCAACATGTTGGGGTGATCAATCTTCCTTCACAGGCCATACCCAGACTTTCTACTTGAGCCGTGTAGAATGTCAAGAGAGCAATAAACCTTGGCTGATACATCAAGTGGAATACCTTCACAGGTGAACAACATTTGCTCTGAACATGGGTTGCTCCTCAATTAAACCACCCAGGGGGTCATCCCAGAAAAGAACCCACCTACCTTATCGTATATTATCCCATTACAAAAGTAAACACACACATCCTCCCTGTTGTTTTTGTTCTTTAAATCAATCTATGTAATCAATGTAATCCCTATCTTTGAGGTAAAAATCATGGTTTTCCGCGAAGATGAACCTTAAAGATCAATCTTTTCAATGGCCTAGCGGCCAGCCTCTCGCGGCTGGTAGGTACAACCCGGACCTCAGCGGTGAGCAGACTGGTCAGCTGACTGTGAATGAGAAGGCTGCGTGGAAATCATGAAGAAATCACTTGGGTTTGTCTGAAAATAGGGTACCCCAAAATCCCCATAGTTACTCATCCTCATCATCATCATCATCATCATCATCAAACTAACAATTTGGGGGATAAAGCCTGTTTTCCGACACACCACTTGTGGGAAGGAAATCCACGACCAGGCAGTGGTTGGCCCTGAACACCGCGTACTTCGGGTAGCACTTTGGCCAAAAGGAACCGTGGTAGAAACATGCAGAAAAGCATGGATAGAAATGGGTTGAAATGAACTGAAATGGATCGATGGTTTTATTCTTCATATGTTTATGTTGGCAGTTTGCCTTGTGTTGCGGCGACTTTGGGGCAGTGGCCTCCCGTGGCTTTCAAACCCCCCAGGTCTCCACAAAAGACAAAGTTTTTGGGTTTTGGACTGGACACATTTTGGGAACTTCATGGTTGAACCACTAGGATCCACCGGACAGTCCCTGTTTGCCAATTTCATTGCGGAAAAAAAAGCGGGCCTCATCCCAGATTTGGTTTCAGTTTGACATGTACAGGAACACCCTCGCTTTGACGGCAATGAAGAGGTTTGTAAAGCCAAACTCAAAAATTGACGGTTCGCAAAATTGACGCCGTTTCGTCAGAAAACATTGTGTTTTTCACAAAAAAGATCTGGATGGATGGAGAATTTCCCTTCAAATCTATCCCAGGTGTGGTTTGTGTCGCTGTTGAAGCCTGATGTTATATGCTTCCAGGACCGCCCAGACTGGTCATGCACCATTAAAAGCGCAGTTTTCATGCGGAACATCATGAACTTGAGTGATTGAGTGCCAAAAAACAATGAAGTGGCGACATAATCATGATAAACTTCTGGATGTTTATTGGGTTTTGATGGGCCCATCCCAAATTTTCAGAGGACCCAGAGGTCGAGGCATCCCAAGTGCGACCGCAGGAGGTGGACAATTTCAGCTTTTTGGCGTCCGAGCTGAAACAGCTGGGCTATGCCTGCAGTAGCAGCAACGCCAAGGATCAAGCCCCAGCAGCTCTTGGTTTCCCCAAAGAGGTCATTCAAATATGAACATAGCAGGGAAAAGAGGCCAATTGCTGGATTGCTGGACATGTCAAACAAGTAAGATCAAATAAGCATGAATCAAATGACAAGTGAAGAATTGCGAGTCTTCTCAGATACCATATGGACAAGCTCAGACAGGGTATCTTGGATATGACCAGATTGTGAACTATGTATACGGTATCAAATGTTTCAGGTGATATAAACAACATCATATTCAGAATATGCCTGTCTTTGTGGAATTTGGCTGGGATCCTCCCCGCGTGAGATATCCATGAGAGCAGGAGTACCAGCCGTTGAAGGACAGAGAGGGAAGCTATAGTGCCTCGCTTCAAGCCCGCCGTGCTGGGAGGATAGATTTCACCATAGATTTCACCATAGGGGCCCCATATGCCACATATTTGGGGTTTTATACCCTCTGATAAATTAACATAGACCCTGGCAGATAGGGGTTGGATTAAAACTAGTCTATTTTCAGGGTCTATGTTAGTTTACCAGAGGGTAACATTTTATAACCACGGTTGTAGCCATTTGTAAGCTCATACTTGCACCACCAGGCGTATGGCTGGACTTTGGATGAACTCCACGGGGTGAAGAAGATCAGGTTCTTCAGCCACAACTGGAGGAATATGAGATCTTTCCACTAGATGCGTTCAAGAAAATTCATACAGAACCCCTCAGATAGAAAAGTGTAATTTACATGAATTTATTTATTTACTATCTTTTTGCATTAATTTACCCCTGGTTATAATTTAATTTACTACTTCAATGGCATTCCCAAGGAGCTTCACGAGGCGAGAGGCTGGTCCAATCACAGTGGTCCTTCGCGCCAAAGAGTGGCTGGAAACGTGGCAAATCCACGGCCCGTGCCTCGCCAAATTGGAAGGATGATATGGATTGATATGGATTGGTTTGGATATATGATATGATTGATATGGATATATGATGCATGATATCTATAATAATAGATATTTTTGATGTGTTTTCTTTCTATGAATTTCATGCAATTACGAATAAAAAAACATGGGCCGCTGGTGTGAACCATGCGATTACAATTCCAGAGAGGTGAAAATGAAAGAAATGACCATGTAGAGAGAGAGAGAGAGAGTGACAAAGTCAGCACATCAGTTTGAGTTCCTCCTGGGTGACACTAGATTGGTAATTTGCTACATAGCTATGGAACATCACCATCAAATCAAAAGGTAAATCATCGAGCTACATGGGTCATGGCTTCCACAGCTGTGTAAAATACATTGAAGAGTAACTATCATATATCCCAAAGATAGCACAGTAAATTCCATTAAGCCAATTAAATCCCCATGAAAAAAAACCTATACCCTCTGGTAATTTGTCACATAGCTATTGAAAATGGCCCAGTCGAAATAGTGGATTTTCCCATTTTTCCCATTAAAAATGGTGGATCTTTCCATAGCAAACTGTTAGTTTACCAGAGGGTAAAACCCCAAATATGTGTTAGTTTACCAGGGTTGGAAGATTAGTTTCCTCTAAAAATTGGTGATTTTCGGGGTCTATGTTAATTTACCAGAGGGTAAATCCCCATGAACAAAACTATACTATGGTTGATGGTGCTATCATTTTGGCCATCCTTGAGAGGTCACTTCCTGGAGAAACGAGTGAAAGACGGCGGCCACAAGGCGTTGCTCGACTGCGCCAGCGGATCGGATGGTGCAGCTGGTAGATGGTTTAGTGATCCCATGATATTTACCCCATGATTTACTAAGTGTTTCATATACTTACCATCTGGTTATTTAACATAGCCATGGAACATCACCATTTTTAATAGGTAAACCCAGGTAAACCATCTATTTCTATGGGCCATTTTCCATGGCTATGTTAAATAGCCAGAGGGTACTATTAGTTACTATTAGTTACTGCTATTAGTTACCAACTTAGTTACCAACTGGTGCAGGATTCCGCAGCCACTGTAGCGTTTGAAAGCTCCAAAGGCCAGGTGCTGACGGGAGAATTCCCCTGTGCCATGACGCTGAGGAAGTTTGATGGCAAGGAGTGGCCCATCGATGATGATGGTCAAGCCATCTTTTGGCGAGAGGATCGCTTTGACATCATCGGGGACCCAGCCTTCTGGCCTGAGACCTGGGGGCAGCCGCCTAGCTATCCTCCAGATCAATGAGACAGGGGACGTAGGCTATCACTTTATGAAGCCGAAGACACCCTTCGAATGGCTGAAAGGTTGATAGTTTTAGATTTGTTTGCTGGTCTCTGTGGCTGGTATGGTTCATTAACCACAACTACGAAAACATCAATTGACTCATTGAATTCTGGGATAGCAGGGCTGAAACCACCTAATATAGCTGGAAGGTTGATCTGCTCCTGGTCAATTACACCACCAGTGAAGAACCCATTGCCACCCATACCAGACTCCGAGACATAAAAGGGTACTGTCTTACTGAACTCTGAACTGTTCCCGTCTTAGAGTCTTACATATAAACACTATAAACCAACATCATTGATGCAACGTATAACATATATCTACTCACAACATGGTGTAGATGTGTACATTTGTGCCAAACAAGTTCCAAGAAGCGGAACGGGGGGAACGGGATGGTTCCCATGGTTCCGGGGCATCCCTGGGCATCTCTGGTGAGGAATTCCTGGTTCTGCCGGGCGACAAAGATATCGATTCCTACCTTGATGGGAACTCGGACGAGCCAGGAGTGATGGGAACTGGCTGGCCCTTGGTCGATGCGAAATGCCTGGAGATGCCTTGATTTGTGCCTTGAGTCATAGGGACATACCCTCTGGTAAACTAACAGTTTGCTATGGAAAGATCCACCATTTTTAATGGGAAAAATGGGAAAACCCACTATTTCGACTGGGCCATTTTCAATAGCTATGTGACAAATTACCAGAGGGTAATAGGGAAATAACAGGGACCCATTAGTTGATGTTCTGTTTTACAATTTTTGCCACTTTCTTTTTGTGGCTACCTTCAGGGGTGACAGATCAGCAGATCATAATTTGTACAGACAGCTGAATCTCCATGAGCCGTAGATTATCGTGCAAAAAAATATTGAATCCTTTTAACCGTTGACACAAATTATGATCATCGAAGTACCTTCTGCAACATCCTGGTTCCAGCCTTTTTGGCATCTTTTTGGTGCGCCACTATACAAGGTGGTGCCCTCAAACGATGGCTACTTTGGTTCATAACTCCAATAATTTTGGTTTCTGGGGGAAAATAACTATATTAATGATATTAACATTATATAACTATTGTCTTCATGGGGTGTTTCAACCAACATTCACATCACTGGGGGGCCCCACCTTTTAGTTCCAGGACCCCTCATGTCATGTTGCAGGATGCAGCCAGAGCGACCAGGCCGCAGTGCGCGTCCTGTTGCAGTTCAAAGATCTGGATCACCGACTTCATCGACAGAAGCTGGGCTATGCTGGGCTGATGAAATTGGGGATATTGTGATGAGAAACTCCCCCTGAAATGGATTGAAATGGGGGGAATCATGGTTTATGATGCAAATTTCAAGTCTTAGTATGTGGTTTCCTTTGATATAATCACCACGCCAAACCTCCCTCAAAAAAATATGGGGAATCATGGTTGAAACGTCAAACGTCTGATGGGAGTACCAGAGTTTTGAGCGGCAGCTGAGGCAATTTTACGTGTGTACCACTCACTTGCAACTCGGTGAAGGGGCATTGATATGGACCCTGAATTCAACATTCAATGTCGCATGGATCAGATAATATCGTGTTTTTTTTTGCATTTTTTTTTCCCGAATGCGTAGCAAGGGTTCCCGTTTCACTTTGGGGTTCTGGGGGTTGAGGGTGTGTTCGCTCGACGTTGCGTTCACGGTCGCAACCGTTCGCAACCGTTCGCGTGAGGACCGTATGGCCGTGCTTATGGTAAGTTCTGCAGAGGTGGTCATTTTTGGAGGTTTCAGACGTCTCGTTGCTTCGTTTCGCGTGGCAGGCGTGGCACTTTGTGACATTCAGAAGTGTTCTGTAACGTGTCGAAAGTCGTTTTGTGTGGCAGGCGCAATACTTTTGCGACGTTTTCAGAAGATGTGTTGCATTTTTCGTGGCAGGCGCAGCACTTTGGACGTGTCCATCGTCATTTTTCGTGGCAGGCGCAGCACTTTAGACGTGTCGTGTTGCGTGTTTATTGCAAATCGCATTGGCAGGGCTGCGTCAAGTGGCGACAAGGTGCAAATTCCGTGGCAGGCGTGGCATTTGGTGCGATGTGCTGAAAATTGACGGAAGCCTCGCACGAAACATCGATTTTGAGGTTGCAAATTTTCAGGTTCTAAGGAAAACTCGTAGGAAAACGTCGATTTTGAAGTTGCAAAGAGTGAAAATTGGAGGAAGTCTCGTACGAAATGCTCGTTTTGGTGCTCCCAGGTGTCTCGTCTGGAGTCTCTGGTTTTCCCGTGGCTTCGCCGTGTCTATGGGGGAAGCTGCAAAACTTGTCCTTTTGTCATGTTGCCAACTGTGAAAATTGGAGGAAGTCTCGTACGAAATGCTGGTTTTTCTGCATCCACGTGTCTTGTCTCGAGTCGCTGGTTTTCCTGTGGCGTCGCCGTGTCTATGGGGGAAGCTGGAAAATATCTCCTATTCGAATGTGTCCAAGCAGGTTGTCATGTCCTTTTGCGTGGCAGGGATGGCACTTTGTGACATTCCAACCTGTTTGATAATGTGTTGAAAATGTCAAAATTGGAGGAAGTCTCGTACGAAATGCTGGTTTTTCTGCCTCCACGTGTCTTGTCTCGAGTCTCTGGTTTTCCTGTGGCGTCGCCGTGTCTATGGGGGAAGCTCCGCACTCCTCACTCTACACTTTACACTCCACAATTTACACTTTAGATTCCACACTCTACACTTTACACTCCACACTTTACACTTTGCACTTTACACTCCTCACTCCTCACCTGAGACTTTACACTCCACACTCCACACTTTACACTGCACTCTGCACTTTCCACTCCTCACTCCTCACTCTACACTTTACACTCCACACTCTACACTTTACACTCCACACTCCACACTTTACACTACACACTCCTTACTTTACACTCCACACTTTCCACTCCACACTCCACACTCTCCACTTTACACTCCACACTCCACCCTCCTCACTCCACACTTTACACTCGTCACTTTACACTCTACACTCCACACTCTACACTTTACCTCTACACTTTACACTCTACACTCCACACTCTACACTTTACACTCTACGCTCCACACTTTACATTTTACACTCCACACTCCACACTCTACACACTACACTCTACACTTTCCACTCCACACTCCACGCTCCACACTCTACACTTTACACTCCACACTCCACACTTTACACTTTACACTCCTCACTCCACACTCTTCACTCCACACTCCCCACTGTACACACCACACTCCACACTCTACACTTTCCACTCCACACTCCGCACTCCACACTCCACACTTTACTGTACACTCCACACTCCACACTTTATACTTTACACTCCTCGCTCCACACTCCACACTTTACACTCCTCACTTTACACTCCACACTCCACACTCTACACTTTCCACTCCAGACTCCACACTCTACACTTTACGCTCCACACTCCACACTTTATCACTCCACACTTTACACTCCACACTCACACTTTACACTCCACACTCCACACTTTACACTCCTCACTCCACAGTCCACACTTTACACTCCACACTCCTTACTTTACACAATTCACACTCCACACTTTCCACTCCACACTCCACACTTTACACTCCACACTCCACACTTTACACTCTACACTCCACACTTTACACTCCACACTCCACACTCTACATTTTACACTCCACACTTCACACTCTACAATTTACAAACTCTAACTCCTCACTTTACACTTTACACTCCTCACTTTACACTCCACACTCCTCACTCCACACTTTACACTCCTCATTTTGCACTCCACACTCCACACTTTGCACTTTACACTCCTCACTCCACACTCTACACTCTACACTTTCCACTCCACACTCCACACTCCACACTCTACACTTTACACTCCACACTCCACACTTTACACTTTACACTTTACACTCCTCACTCCACACTCTACACCCTACACTCCCCACTTTACACGCCACACTCCACACTCTACACTTTCCACTCCACACTCCGCACTCCACACTCCACACTTTACTGTGCACTCCACACTCCGCACTTTAAACTTTACACTCCTCGCTCCACACTTTACACTCCTCACTCCACACTCCACACTTTACACTCCACACTCCTTACTTTACACTCCGCACTTCAACTCCACACTTTCCACTCCACACTCCACACTTTACACTCCACACTCCACACTTTACATTCCTCACTCCACACTTTACACTCCACACTTTACACTGCTCACTCCACAGTCCACACTTTACACTCCACACTCCTTACTTTACACACTTCACACTCCACACTTTCCACTCCACACTCCACACTCCACACTTTACACTCCACACTTTACACTCTACACTCCACACTTTACACTCCACACTTTACACTTCACACTCCACACTCTACACTTTACACTCCACACTTTGCACTCCACACTCCACACTCTACACTTTACACTCTACACTATACACTCTATACTCCACACTTTACACTTTACACTACACGCTTTCCACTTTACACTCCACACTCCACACTTTACACTCCACACTCGACACTTTACACTCCACACTCCACACTCTACACTCCACACTTTACACTCCACACTCCACACCTTACACACCACACTCTACACTTTCCACTCCACACTCCACACGCTACACTCTACACTCCACACTCTACACTTTACACTCTACTCTTTACACTCTACACTTCGCACTCTACAATTTACAAACTCCACACTCCTCACTCCACACTCCTCACTTTACACTCCACACTCCTCACTCCACACTTTACACTCCTCACTTTACACTCCATCCACACTCCACACTTTGCACTTTACACTCCTCACTCCACACTCTACACTCCACACTCTACACTCTACACTTTACACTCCATACTCCACACTCTACACTTTACACTCCGCATTCTACATTTTACACACTCTACACTGCCCACTCCACACTTTACACTCCACACTCCTTACTTCACACTCCACACTCCACACTCTACACTTTCCACTCCACACTGCAGACTGGTAACAGGGCAAACATGCACAAGACTGTTCAAATAAACTATTGCAGAAAGGTATTGTGCGTGACTGCATAACCATGTGTTTTGACATCTGTACCATTAACATACGTGTGAGCATTCGGGTTCGTGGGCTTCATCTTGTTTTTTTTAATGGTCATTGGTTGATCGCAATGATCACATTACCATCTGGTCATTTTAACATAGCCAATCGAAATAGATGGTTTACCTATTAATTTCATGATGATTTTCCATGGCTACGTTAGTCATAACCAGATGGTATATTATATCATATTAATAGATAATAATTAATTAATAGGTAAACCATCTATAAATGGAATAACCATCTATTAATAATGGCTACATTCTTATATCATACTCCATGGTATCTCCAAGATTTGCTGCTTCCATCAGGTTTTGCCAAAAAGGTATGTCTGGGGTTTTGACAGATTTTGACATATACTGAAATCTATCATGATTTTCCATAGATATCAATATAATATATATATATATCTTCATTATATATATATATATATAAATGGGTTAAATCATTGATGTTCAATCCAATCAGATTAAATCAGTCTCCGAAAATCCGAACATCTCCATATATCAGTGATGATTCATTTGACCTAATCTAAATCATATTAGTATATATCCCTACGGATCCATGTATGGAATATTTACCTACATTGGGATTATTTAAAAAAATACTTTAGGGGTCAATGTAGGTAAATATTCCATACATGGATCCTCTGGGTATTAGTAATTCATAACCATTCATAACCATTCATACCTCTGGCATACATCAGTGATGATTCATAACCATTCATAACCTCATCTAAATCATATATACTATCCATATCAGATTTTAATCTCCATATCTTTCCATCTTAAGCCGCGCCGTATCAACCAACGAGGTCCAGCGGCACCGACAACGAGGTGCACCGCATCCAACAGCTGCATCACTTGGGCCGGCGCTGGGCGCGCTCCGGGCTGCCGGAAATCTGGCCGCTTCGACAAAGTGAGGGACGTGATGTTTACCCTCTGGTTATGTCAAAACAGCTATTGAAAATGGCCATTTATAGTGGATTTTCCCATGAAAAATGGTGATTTTCCAGTTCGCTATGTTAAATTACCAGAGGGTAGATGGTGATGAACCATGATTAACCCGTGATTGAATATAGATATTCATATAGTGATTTTTTTTTTAGATACACATATTCATAGTGATGAAAATTGTAGTGTTCACTATGTTAACATGAATATTAATCACTATGATCACTATGATATTAATATTAATATGGTTTAACTATGATCACTATGATATTAATATTTATCACTATGATTAAACTTAGCTATAACTATATTAATCTATATTAAGTTTGATTAACCCTCATTAATCATGATGTTTATAGCTATAGACTGATCCCCGTGGGATGATCAATGCCGACATTTTTTGGGCGGCTTTTCATGCATCCACAATGCCATTGTGGGAACTATGAAAAGGCTTGTGAATAATGCTTGTGAAATATATGATATATGATATATGATATATATATATATATGTGTGTGTGATATACCCTCCAGCAAGTTAACATAACCTTTGGAAAACCATCCCTTTTTAGAGGAAACTCATTGTCCAAGCCGTATATCATATGTATATAGAAATCACCCCAGGAATCGAGGTCATTTGGTGTGACGATTGCTGTGAATCCCACATCGCAGGCTGGTGGAGGATACGAATCACAGAGAAATTCCATGAAATTGAGGTTTCGCTGGTTTCACCCTAATGTGATTTGGCATGTTATGCATGGTTTCACGGACATTCTTCTTACATCCTTTCCAGAAATAACATGCTAATTACGTGCACAACGGCAGCTTGCGGCTTCTGGCCATGGCTGAGGTCATTGGATGCCAACACAGAAGTGGATTTCGAAGATATGGCCGCCAGACTGTGACTGAAGAAGAACTTGGTTTGGGAAATGATGTTTGGTTGGGAACGGACGTGTTTTTAACCACGAAAACTGGATTTATCTTTTTGGTGAGGCTCAAGAGACTTGAGCTGTTTGGGAATCTAATGTGATAAGTAGTGGCAAGCAGTGCATGAAGCATTTATGATGATAAGCTTTTGGTGGTGCAGGATAAACCTTGCCTTATCCGATATCCCATGTTTCTTGGTGAATAGTCAAGCATAATGTTCAGATATGTGTATGGTTCATAATTTACACCCACATGCCATACACGGGAACGCCTGGGTACAGTAACAGCACGAGGAAGTACTTGGGCTGGTTCAAGAGAAAAGGGTACAGTTGGGTGTGTGAAGGTGTGTGGTTTCCCATTGGATTTACAAAGGGCGTTGTTTTATCATTGGATGTACAATGTGCCCGTCATTTGTGAGAATTGTGATGGCATCACAACGACTCACTGGGAATTCCAGGATCCTAAAATGGAGGTACGTTAGTACCATTTTTGAGGTCATATTTTGTGGGGATATATCCCCTTACATAGGCCTTATACAGGCCTTATATATGTTGGGTACCTCCAATTTAGGATCCTGGAATAGCCATTGTCTGCGCCCCGAGGACATGAGCCAAGGGAGTCAAGTGCCGATCCCAGAGGAGTCCAATGCGTTGCAGAGTTTCATGCAAAACAACGTGCCTCGATCGAAAAAAAAAACGCAGACGTTACCCTCTGGTATAGATGATATCAATGGTATATATCAATGACATGGAATAGATGATATAACTATCCACTAGATGGTATATGATACTGGATAGATGATATACCCTCTGGTTATGACTAACGTAGCTATTGAAAATGGCCATAGAAATAGTGAATTTTCCCATGAAAAATGGTGATTTTCTATAGCTATGTTACTATGTTAGTTTACCAGAGGGTACATGTGGTCAAACCCAAGGCCATGAAGCTCCAAATCCGGAGGGTTTATACATGTTTATACCCCCTCTGAAATTGAGGCTTGTTTTGTCGTTGGGTTTGCCACATTGGTCGTCCTTGGTGAATGGTAGGTTTCGGAATCAGCTGGGTTGGTTAGAATTTCTGTCTAATAAATGGGAGGAACGATGATGATTGCTATGACATTGAGAGACGAGTTAACCTGGGCACCCAAGGTTTGCCATGAAATAGGGGATGATCGACGGATGATTCCTGATGCTCATGAATGGTTGGTAACGGGCATCCTGATAAGGACCTGCGCAGCGTGTGGAACTCCTTCTACAGCAGCACCCGTGACATTTGGGATCCGCCTGTTTCAGTGCCTGAAACGAATGGAAAATCATTGGCTTGGAGCGAAAACCTACGGTTGACACCATGGTTTCATGATCCAAATGTGGGGTTTCCTGTCAATTTTCCCGTGAACCAATTCGATGTGTGAATACTGCATCTAGAAGAGAATTGGATAGATTATGATAGATTATGATGATAGATTATGATGATAGACTGTGATGATAGATTGTGATGATAGATTATGATGATAAATTGTGATGATAGATTATGATGATAGATTATGATGATAGATTGCATTCTTGAATACATCTCCAAGTTAAAGAGAAACGCATTTATCCTCTGGCAAACTACCATAGCTATGGAACATCACCATCTTCTGATAGGCAAATTCAACTAATTATAGATAAATGGCCATGTTCAATATGTTAAATTACCAAAAAGGGTAACCATCATAAATGCCATTAAATCATATTGAATCCCATTATCATAAAAACATGCAAGTTTTTCATGGGATTATCTTTGTTACAGTACCATTAAATCGTACAAACAATCCCATGAAATCCCAGCAGGTATTAATAAATCCCATGAAATTACCAATTCTATCCCAATAAATCTCATTAACCATGGGATTGTAATTTAAATCTACCCTCTGGTAAACTAACATAGCAATGGAAAGATCCACCATTTTTAATGGGAAAATCCACTATTTCTATGGCCATTTTCAATAGCTATTTTGACATAACCAGAGGGTAACAATAAATCCCATGACCATTAAATCAATGAAATTCCAGCACCATTCCAAGGTGTGGAAGATGCGCGGCAGCGCTTCTGCACAGCCCAAGAAGGTGGGCGAGGAGCATGGGGCCCCCGTT